TTAAATGGTTGCAGGAAAATCCGTTTCATACTGGGATCTCTCTGTTTTCATCTAACCAGAAAATCAGCAATAACAATGTTTTTTATATACTGCTTAAGTGAGATATATCTACTGTGTAAGCATTGCTATTGCAAATAAAAGATAAAGACAGACAATGATAGAAGATTCTAATATTGTACTGCTGCTATATTTAAAGAATACTCTGGAAAGACTATATAGATGGGCACATCTATACAGCCCAATGAGACAAGGTTCAAGCAACTAATAAACTTGGAAGGAACCTGTAGGCTTTACAAAGTAGGAACAAAATAAAGATAAATTTCTCTTATATATTTATATAGCAATGATTTAGGAAAAGTTATCTTTTGGAGACATTTCTAAAACTCTGTCTTACATTAGATTTTCCTCATTATTCAAACTCTCTCTATATATATTGAGCTGCAAATAGATATCTACCTCTTCCAGGTTTTCTTCCCAAGTACAGACATTAGAAGTACTCAGTACTCTGAGCCTGGAGCTCAGTCAGTGCTAAGGCCTTCAAAGCTAGAAGACAGTAATATTTCAAATGGATGTAGTGCTGGTAGCATTTGCATGGTGTATCATTCCAGTGTAAATACTTAAGTAAATACTTAAGTAAATGTTCAGTAAATGTCCTAAAAAAACTCAAATATGTCAGTCAAAGTATTTCTATATCCACATGCTTACTTTGGCATTTCTTTAGGTATTGCTTTCTCTACTACTAAGCTCAAGGTCTCAACACAGATTTTGACAGTACTAAAGTGAACCCTTTAGCAAAGAATGTCTTATGTGCTTGTGCAGCATGGGTTGTTTGCAGATGCTACCATAATTCAGAAAATAGTATGACTCCAATGTACTTCCTGTACTTGTGTGGAAAATTCATCAACTCTTCTAGAAGGAAAATTAAAAACAAATTGGAATAATTAAAATGAACTCAAATGAAAATTCCTGAGAATTTAGAAAGTCTTATTCAGTTCCTTTTGTAAGATCCAACAGCACACACTTGAAATCTGGAGGGCAATTTCTTAAAACCTTTAAGAAGTCTAAAGTAAGCTATGCTAAGCACAAAACAGAGACAGAGGACGCAAAAGTGCTGGGAAGAAAAAAAAAAAGTGTTTAAAAAAATGTAAAAAGTGAAGGTGAAAATCTTCATTAACTGCATTAGCTGAAGATGTGCCAGTGTATTAAGCAAAGCATTAGCACTGGAGATTGTTGTATCCTTTCAAACGGAGAAGAATTTCAACACAACTCTTACTGAAGCACCCTAGTATCTTGCCAAGAGATGATTTCAGCAGGACAAGAATCATCACCCTGTGTGATAAACAGGCAGGTCACTGTCACAATTTTTCCTTTATTATATGCATTCTCCCTGTCACTGTAAACTAACCAGTACATCACCTTTGTAGACACTACTGTGACTATTCCTTCCCCAGCTACCTGACATTAACCTGAATGTTTCTAAATTGATATTTACTTATAAAATATTACACCCAGGAATTCTTTATGTTCTTCTAGGACTCTTCACTGATCTGTTTCGACCTTTTCTCTCCTTCGTATTCTGTCTTTTTGCTTTATATGCCCCCTTCCAGTGTTTTTTTTTTTGTTTGTTTGTTTGTTTGTTTTTGTTCTGGCTCCTGTTGACTCCTTCATTGACTTTTACAATGTTTCTACGTTTCTATTATTTCTTACCCTGCAGAGTCTTCTCAGCCTTCTGGCTCCACTAATACGTTTTATCTTGGGGCAGTGTTATTCACTCTCCCAGCTTTATTACATGTAATGGCTCAACTACTAAAATCTCAGCTCCTGACCTACTTCCTTCCATCTAATTTACGTGTACATACATGTGCCTCACTTTTCCCAAGTGGTTTACAGAAATGTTTGTCTATTCCAGCTAAAAAGATCAGCTAAGTCTTTTCTTCCTTAACTTTATTCATTTTCCTTATTCACTGTTACTATCACTTTTTGCTAACTGTATTCATAAACTTTTATTCATTTACCTTTTTCATACTAAACCATTGTATCCCACCATGAAAATTCTCACCCATGCCATGATTTTTTAATTCAGATTTCAACTCTCTCTTTCTTGATCTTCTCTTTCTCATCCCCTTGTACTATTTACAGGTATTCTTTACAACTAGTAGACCTATAATCTGCTTACTCAGTTGATTTTGCCAACTACTTCTTACGGTCTAACCGTAACTCCCGAAATCAAATTTATATTCTATTATGGTCCCAGGTACCTATTTCTGAAAAGTTCTGGAAGACCTATGACCCATCCTTCATTTCAAAAAGTGTTAATAAAAATATTGTTGAACTTCAGTTGGTCTTAAGACAACTATTTATTAAAAACATGTAGAGTTGATATGAAACTTGCAGAATGGGCTGAAGCGATACAATAAATAAATAAATTTTGAAAATCCATTGACCTGCTATCAGATTTTGCCTGAAATCTGACAGAATAGTATAAATATACTGCAGTAACTTGATAAGCTAGTTTGTGAATTTTCATCTTGGATTTCACTAACATGTCTGCTTTCAATTACACAGATGAAAAACAAGAGTTTAACATTTTGTTCTTCCCCTGATTGCAATAAAATGTCACGCCGGAAAGTGGACTATTAAAAGGAAATTCAAGTGAAAACTAATTTAGAGATAGCACTCATGTTTCAGAATTAGACTTTTTGTTGGTATGTGATTTTTAGGGAGATATTCTCTATGATAACACGCAAGAAAGCACAAACCTAGTCTTTTCTAAGTCCTACCTCCACCCATATATTTGTTATAAATTTACTTCTATGAAAGCAAATGTAAAAGCCATGATCTTAAAATAAAACTCATTCCACACACTCAGTGGAACATTTTTTTTTTATTATTATTACAAACTATAAGCTCACCCTGAATAGCTATGTTTCCAGATGTTTAGTGAGTTAAACTGTCTGTGTCTGTAGTACCAAGACATGCCAAAGGCACGGCTAGAGGATGAACTGTTCATACACTGACTGGACATAATGATGTGAGTAATCCATCTTTTTCAGCAGAGACAGTAGTTTATACCAAGCCAATTTTTTTTTTTTTTATAACAAGAATGCAATGTTTACAGGAAAATCAAGTTGTGTTATACAACCTAGCAGGTTTTTAGGACCCTTACTCTTGCAAAGAATGACATGCATAACTATCTTCATATGCACTGGGCAGTTCCCCTTAATCCAGCCTCTTCTTTTTTTCAGAATGAGGACTACTGATTAATAGATACTGGAGATTCACTAGTAAGGAAAATCAGTTAGAAAACTGACAGAAAGAAGCTTAAGAGGAAGTTGTATTTCAGAAATATGTTGCTATAGCAACTTGGCAATTGTATCTGTAAAGCCCTCTGAAGATCATCTTCACCCCAAGCCCCTTGATACTAGGTGTACAGAGGAATCCAGACTCTGCCACAAAGAGCATATACTTGCATAACATGAATTCACCATGTAGTTTCTTCATTGGCCTGCAAAACACAGATGGCCTTGTGAAATAATGCAGAAAAGTTATCTTACAGCAACTACGATTGCTAGTAATTACGAAAGCATATTTATATTCTCAAAAAATATTTAACCTCAGCAGTCTACTCTTCAAGAAGTAGTGTCCTAGAAAAAGTTTCTTAACTGCTTTTAAACATGCAAATCTAATTTTATCCGAGTTACTGTTTTCAAAATTCTAAGGATGCAGAAACTCACAGGGAAATTAGAGTATTGATCTTTATTTGAGACTAGAGACCTAACGTACCTTTTATCACCAAATTTGTCTATACTTTGTGATAACAACCTTAGAAAACCAGAACTTATCTAATTACTTAGTTTTTCTAAAAAGCAGTGCACTAGTTAAGGCTAAAGGTACACTGCATTACAAAGTGATGTTATTTAGTGTTTCACAATAATGCTGAGAATTACTATACCCCTACAGCGAATCACAGTTACAAATTTGTTGATGTACCCTGTTGTCTGAAAGAAAGTAGGCACTGCCCTGGGATTTTAGCACTAAACATTGCTTTCTTAAGCTTCTTTATTCTGTTCCTCCTTTTTCAAAAAGGAGCAGCTAACACCTCTTTGTCAAAAGCAAGGTATCTGTGACAAATGCTCTGCAATATACAAAAATATAAGAACTAAAATACTGCAACGATAAGAAATAATTTACTTCACTAGTTTTTGTCTGCAGCTGTTAGGCCAGGGACCATATGTTTGTAAACACTTGCCTGGGGAATGGCATGCCCAAGCCTCAACTCGCAAAGGCCCCCTTTGGTGCTCCTCTAGCAGAAAGTCACTTAGCTGCGGGCTAGGATAAATTCACCGTCACCACATGAAAAGCAGCTTCTTTGCTGTATCTTATCAGTTATGTTTTCGTTGGATTACTCTGCTGACTTAAATGAATATCCTCCGTTTATATAGTTTTTAGAGAATGGGAAAAAAGTGCATAATCTAGAAAGGGAAACATGGGCTTGGATCCAGAGCCCTACTTTCACAAGCACCCCCACCACGCGATATCATTCATAAATACTTCAGTATTTAAAAGGCCCGTACGCTTTGCTTTGCTATGCCTCCTGCAGCAGCGCGATTCCACACTCTTGGTCCCACTTTTCTTTGTGGGGTCCCGCAGCCAGCGGACCGGACCAGCCCCCTATCCCGAGGCCAGGCTTCGGGGCACCGCAACTCAGAGGAAGCCCGGCGTTTCAGGGTCCCTGAACGAGCCGGGCCGGGGGACTACAGGGCACCGAGAGCTGCAGCCCGGCCGCCCCAGCAGGCACCCTCCGCAATTCGGGCAGCGGAGCCGGTGCACGCCCCGCCTTTCTGCTCCCTCGCCCTCGTGGCAGCGGCGGGGCTTCAAAGCCTGCCCGGGGACACCCGGGGGGGGGGAGGGTTACGGTGGTCCCCGCCGCCCCCTTCCCCGAAGCCCTCTCGCCCCGCGGGGCCGCTCTGGGGGTCACCTCACGGACAGACAGCCCTTACCTTGGCCGCGGAGCGCGGGCGGCAGCAGCGCCACGAGCAGGAGCAGCCGCAGCGGCCGGGCCCCGCCGAGGTTGTCCATCGGCCGCCGGCGGGAGCACTGGCACCGAGCGGGGCCGGGGGGGGCTCGGCGATCCTGAGGCGGCCGGCGGGGCTCCCCGCTTTTCTCTCGCTCTTGCTGCGTGTTTCTGTTGTTATCCCAGCCGCCCGAGACCTGTTGGGAAAGAGCTCGCAGGAACCCCCTTCTCGGTGGGCTTCACAAAGATTTAATTCACCTCCTGCCCTGTTAATTGCACAGCCTGCAAGTATTCGGCAGAGGAGAGCAGCACTGCGGCTGGGAGGCAGGGACCCTATTGCATCTGATACCCCTACTCTCTCTCCGCCACCCCCACACACGCTGTAAAAGTGACTCCCTTCGGCTCGGAAAACTTTGCAGATCCTCAGCGTGAACCTAGGGACGGCGTGACTGATTCTGCGAGGGGGAAATGCAGCAAATTCCCTCGGTGCCAAGTAGAAGAAAGCCACAAACAAAAAGCAAAGTGAAGCAAAAACAAAACAAAAGAAGCCACCTAGCCGGGAAGGCAGGGTTCAGCCTCTGGAGAGGAGATTTTCACCCCCCATTTCGTGGTCTTTCCACCGATTTTACTCCACGATAACTTTTTTTTTTTTTTCCTTTATGAAGAGGGCTTTAAAAATGAGAGGTATTCTAGAAAATTTCAATGAAATTCACTGGAGGAAAAAAAAAAAACCTTCCCCTTTTTCCTCCCCCTCCTTGTAAAGAAACAGGATGAGAATTTCTACCCAAATGAGGCAGTCAGCTCTGCTCTGTCGACCCCCCCCCCCCCCCCCTTTTTTTTTTTTTTTTTTACCTCTTATCTTATTTAAACAGGAACACAAACACTGATAGTGGTCAAAGGAAGAGCTGGTTTGAAAGCACCCAGTTGGCTATGCTGTTGCCAAGATCTTTTAGATAATGTGGGCGATAATATTTGCAGGCAAATGCATGTGGAAACAACTGGGGAGTTCATCACCCCTCTACACTTTGCCCTATGTTTTACTCAGAAGAGCAGTTGGAAGCACTTTATATTTACTTGGTTGTTGTGTCACAGGGACCCTGACTGGACTGTTCATGTTGTAACCCCTCAATACCAATGTTAGATTTAAGGCACTTAGAGTTGAAAGCATGCATTTTTTCCTGCACCTGGTTACTTGCTCTTTCCTTACACAAGAACAGAAAAATGGCCACATGGCCAGTAGTCCAACTAGCCAAAAGTTTGTTTTCAGCGATGATCGTAAGTGCTCACCAGAGGAAGGGTAAGACCAAGGCAAGCACATGTGATGTCCTCCAACCTCCGGCTGCTTTGAGTTTGGAGCATTTCCTCTGTGGAATGCAGTTTCTGTGTAGCCAGTAGCCCTCAGTGAGTTTCTATTCCAGGTATTTATCCAGTCTCCACATGAGTAAACCTTTATCATCCAAAATACCCTTTGGGAGCAGGTTTTGTAGCTCTGACACTGACTGGGTGGAGGGCTGTTTCTTTTTGTTACTCCACCTACCTTCTTACAGCACCTCCTAACTGCTGCACGAAGAGACACCAAAGAACTAGCCTTATCCACTCTCTTAGTGCCATGATCATATTTTGCCAGGTCAGCTTTTTGACTGTTTCCTTCCCCCTTCTCTCTCCCCCCGCCTCTTCCCCCCCGCCCCCACTTTATTGGGAGGGGACGTTTGGGAAAGGGGAAGAAGGATGGAGGACTGACTATATTTGGGTGTATTTTTTGCTTCCATTTCTTACACGCATCTCTCTTCTTTAAACACCCTGTTTTTAAGTTTAACATCAGTTATAGCGACACTTTCACGGTGTTTCATCACAACCTCCACACTACAGATCTTTTACACCTCAGACAGCTGCAGGAGGCAAATGACAAAGATGACACCTTGTTTGTACCAGCTTACTGAACCTGGGGCATCTCATCTATGGAATCCCTGGATTGAGTTCCATTGTGGCTTATTTCACTTTATACCCACTCCTAATTGATTAAAGGTGAATATAAAGAAGTTCATCAGTTTGACTAAATCACTGTAAAGTCACACATAATAGCTTGTCCACACATGGACTTACTCTGAGTAACACCATGTGTGGACATGATTAATCTAGAGTAAGAATTCTTCCTTCCTGCTTAGTTTGCCACCACAAGCTGTTTACCAGAAACAAGGCAAATTCAAGTAACTGTTTTAAGAAATATTTCTAGAAACCATCACAGCTATAGTTATCTCAAGATCTCATAATAGTTTTTTGTTGGTTTTGTTGTTATTGGTGGTTCTTTTGCATAATATTAATGCATACTTCTAGTATAAATTGGGACTCTCCCCTACAATCACATTCGGTGGCCTTGAGTACATGTGATTCTAATTAGTGACTCCAAGCTTCATAATAAGCTAAGCCATGCACTTAGGGCTTAATTCAAAGCTCCTGGAAGTCAATGGAAAGTAAGGGCTCATGAGAGGGAACATTTTGCATAACCACATTTTTTCTTACATCTGTTTGCAAAGGCCCTGTAATCCTTTGTGTAGCTTTTAAAACAAACAAATTCTTTAATGAGGATTTTATTTTTACTTCAGAAGAATAAAAATCATTTGCAGAAGCTCAGATTAATGAGTAATGACAGTGTAACAAATCATTACGCAAGTCATTTCCAAAGGTCTTGTTGAGAGTAGATACACACAAGTGGTCTGACAAAGAATTACTCTAACAAAGAATTGAATTACTCTAACAAACCCATTACCATCTATGGTAGCAGGTTCACAGTTCTTTCTTTATTTGTTTACTTTTGTGGGAATAGCAATTCTTGAAATGGACTAAATAAGCCTATGTAAGGACATCAAATTCTGCCTGGTGAACAAAGCTGCCCTATTGTCCCAACTGTTGTACTTCCTAGCCTTTCTGGTTTACTGCAGCTCCCAGATCCTGCCTTGTTGTTGTTGTTTGTTTGTTTGTTTGTTTGTTTGTTTGTTTTTTCTTCCACCTATCTGTCCCAGAAGTTGAGCAAAACAGAGGGAAAGGAAATTGCTTTATCTTCCCTGTTTTGGCAGATATTGCAAGGAAGAAAATAGATACACCTGGAAATGAAATCTATCTGTAGTTACTGAAGGGAAACTCATTGGGCCCCATGGCAAAAACTGAAGCCATGTTTTGTCTTTCATTAAGGAAATGTGCCATACTGAAGACGCATAAAAGGGCCTCTTTTGCCTTCTGAAGAAAAATATTACTCATTCACTGCTATACGTGCACAAAGATTAAGAAAAGCCCATGGAGATCTTACCATCTCTCAACATTAAAAAAAGACTCTACATTAAAAAAACAAACAAACAAACAAAAAACACTCTATAGTAAGCAAATCCACATCTATTGGAGTACAAATGAGTCATTCAGCTTAGCTCCAAATATTAGTATATGCAAAGTACAACTGGCATTCAGCTTCTTTCCTAGAGAAAACACTACCAAAAACTTTTCTGACTTAAAAAATAATTAGAATAATAAGGAAGACATTCTATTTGCAACACGAGGAAACAGTGTCACATAATTGTTTCAATATTAGAAAGTTGGGAAATTTATTGTTTTTAACATCTTAATATTGGAAACTGATTTTTAAGGCTTGTGGGAACCGTTCTGACTCTCTTGTCTGTCCTGAAAAGGCAGACATTTTTCTGATTAAACTAGATCACACATTTTACAATAATCTACATCAGAGTTTTCAGAGATGAGTGCACCACAATCCTTAGTTATTTCTTGAAACTATTAATGACATCACAGATCACCATTTCTTGCTTATTTTGTGTCTAAAGCAATCTAGTTCAGTTCTTAATAGATCTGTGGGCTCATACTCACAGGGAAGTTACTGTTTGTTTGTACTCTGTGCTTTGTGTATCATCAGTGACCATCAAGGCAATTTAGGGTAATGTAGCCTGTGGACACTTTGTATGCACCTTCCATTATCCTTGCCAGGGATTAGCTTGGAATAAAATCTCTTTTTTGATAAATCAGTTTGTACCCCAAGCCACAGGCTCATCTTCGCTCTCAAATGCAGAACTACTAACTATCCACACCAAAGTGATACTGGCCTGAATCATGCCAGGCCATAGATGAGCAAGGGAAGATGGGAGGACTGAGAGCCTGCTCTGTTCTCTAATACATAGGAAATCATGCCTCCAACTCTAGTCAAGAAGGCTAGCCTAGGCACCATCTTATATCCCATCTGGTTTATGAAGGCATCCTGTAGCTAAGCTGGTCTGGGACTCTTTCCAGAATAATTACAATGTCAGATGAAATTTATAACCATCCTAAATTTGAACTGCTCTTTATATAAATATATAGATATGTATATATACATGTATATAAAATAATGTGGATGCCAATAGTTCAAGCCACTTATTCTCTGTGGACAGCAATACAGATGCTTGTAACCAAACCAGGAAATGTAGCTGGTCTCTATGCTCAAATAATACATAAGGACTGTTAGAAGAGCTTAGTTAATAGAGCTTTCCCTGCACAGAAGAACCCTTTCATTGCTAGATTGATCTATGAACATTTTTCCTCTTTGCATGGATTAGCTTGTGAATACCAAGGCAAAATTCAACTTTTTTTTTGTTGTTGTTGTTGTTTAATATTCCAGACTGAGACTCATAACCCTGAGCCCTTTTTGACATCACTGATTCTAACTTCTTTGAGTTTTTACCCATTTTTGAGTTTGTATCTATTTTGTAAGTGTTGCCTGTGTTCTGTTTTCTTTTCTGACAAATTAAGACAAAAAAAATCTATCTTGGACACTCAAGAGACGCCACGGTTTTCTATTAATATGTATAGGGTCTGCTTCTAAGACAAAGAGGAGTTTATTGGGGGATAAAGGAATGCTTTGATGATCCGTGTCATATCCCTTGTGGCATTACTTGTAGAATTCAGGGATAAGTCAGTCTGACATTCATGAGGTATTTCCTGCCTCTCCTTCTAGAGTTGCATCCTTGCAGTCTCTCAGATCTCCCCCTTCCCATAAATTTCCTTTCCCCTTCTAGACTCTGTCGTGTCACTGCAGGCAGAGCTAGTCTTTGTGAACAGTCAAGGCACTTTCCAGGACCTCAGGCCTGGGAAGTTGAGGCTCCATTTACATAAGATGGAGAGCAATGTGAGTCATGCACATATGGCTTGGAGGGAGGGGACAATGGTATTGCCTTAGACTCTGACTGGAGCCTCCGCAATTCTAACAGCAGGGATCAGTCATTATTTTTGCTGCAGTTTCTCAAGGGGTGACTCTTAAAGTTGCCCATCAGCATCTGTGCCAGTGGTTAGTTTCAATGTTCAAACAGAAATAAGATCTCATTACAAAGGGTGGGGAAAAGCCATCAATAAAGTAAATGGCTATTCTGGCAAAAGGCCATTCTGGCAAAAGGCCTTCTCCCTTCCTGACATCTCTGATAAATCTGAGCTCCATCCCTGTCAAACAAAAAAAATATCCAAGTATGTGACCAAATGATCTTTGGGAAAGAGCAAATATACAAAAGAGAATACAAGGCATTTCAGGTTTGCATAAATAAAATTCCAGAGTCTACTGTATTTAACAGCTCAACATCAGGGGCATACAGTTTTCTATAACATTTCCTCGTGGTCACTTAAAACCTAGTTCATTCAGGGCTGTTTCATTATTGTTTTATTAATTTGCTCCATTATTTACAAACATTTTTGCCTAAATCTAGTAAGAAAAGAAGCCATCCTATCCATCTGCAAACAATCCCAGTCTTGCCAGAAAACTTTTGTCTTACCTCTCAGCAGAAACTGAAATTTAAACTCAGTATAATGTAAGCAGCAAGTCAGCAGAACAGAGCTGATAAAACTCTATAGTAAATTGATGTATATTGGGTTTCTTCCTTTCCCTGAGCCTCACATACTGCCTCTGTTTCTTTTCCTCAGCCTTGGTTTCTTTAATAGAGGTTCACAAACTTTATTTACTCATGTACCATTCTTCTAGACTTTACTTGGGCAGTAATGTCTTTGTCCTAGGAACCCAAGATCTTCCTTGGTGGCCTGATTCTACAAACACATGTTAATAATATTATACAGAAGGAGTGGGGATTTAGCCAATGCTTACACAACTCTGAGTGGTGGCTATGAGAGGGCACCTTAATACAAATTAATTTAAGAGTTATTGTAGTGCAGCAAACTGTTTGGAAAGAAAATACTATAAATTTACCATATTTTCTGGTACAGTTCTTCAGAAACTGACATCTGGGATATGCAAAGTTGGTGGACACTGGCTCTTAATCGGAAGGCTGGCTGGATCAGAATACCTTTGGACAACCGAAAAAGTAAAAATAAAGAGATTAGATCTATAAAATGAACCCTAATGGGTTAAATTGTTCCATACTACATGTGCCCTATGGCTGCCAGGTCTCAGGTTAGACATTTTGAATTGTATACACTACATCAGTAGCCACAGCCTACGTAGATGAGGAGATTGGCTCACAGTTGGAGCGCAACTGTGAGTTTACTTTTGGTTTTGCATAAAAATGGACTTTTCTGTCTGTAAGGGACTACTCTCATGTTCCCTTAGGTCCTTGCTGAGCTCTGGAAGCAGAGCTAGCAACAGATGTGAGGTTCAATTTAAAAACAAGCTCCAACCAACCAGCCCTGTGCTATCCATTTATTCCAGCAAGCTGTTTCCACTCACTCTCTGCTTAGTTCTTTCAGCTGTGATCTCACAACTGTTCTTAGACCTAGTCATACAGTTTGGAACTGGCTCAATGACATATTCCTACTAGAGGAAAGAATAGTCCCTAGCTGTATGAAAAGAGGGTGTGGCAGCAGCAGCTTACACCAAAGTGAAGCTGAAAAACCATACGCAAAAAACGACCCCCCACATACTGCAAGCCCCAACCGTTCAGGATTTAATTATCTGGAAGAAATGTGGCCTGCTAAACAGCACATTTGAGCAGCGTTTAAAAGAGGTTGTGCTTCCAGCTCTCTTCTTGGCTTATAAGACATCTTTTGGTAAAACACTTTACCTTTCTGTGCCTCATTTATCTATAAGAGTAACCCAATTTGTAAAATGTTTTGAACTCCACAAAATTCAACAAGCTGCAGAACAGTTAGTTGTTACAAACTAGCAACCTTGAGCCATTAAGTTCACACGAATTGATATGAAGCAATTTAGGTCAATTTTAACTTAACTTCTATTTCCCCTATTTAAAGACAGCATCTTATACAATTGTCTATGTTAGAATAATATTAGTGCTCAGAATAGCTCTCCTATTCTTTCATCTAAACATAGAAATCTACAGACAGACAAATTTCCAGCTGATACATACATTTGCTTGGATAGTTATTCCATAATTTGTACTTCTGAAATGTTCCACAAACATACAGGTCAGGCATTATGATAATCTAATTTATGCATGTAAGTCATAGCTTCATTGCAAGTCAGAACATGGGATTCTTCTAAGATTTTCGATTCTCTGTTAAGTAGGTGTCATTAGGCATGCATTTAAGGGTAATATAAATTGTCTTAGCTCTTACAAAGCAGATAGCTAGTTAGAAAGACATTTGCAGAATCATTAACCTGAAACCATAAAAAGAAGTTTCTTTATTTGCATCTTTCACATTTTTCTTCAGTTTATGCAATATACTGTATTTAATAGCTCTGCTAAAGACGTATGAAATCTTGGCTCTAAGGAAATAATTGGCAACATTCCCACTGACTTCAGTGGGGCCAATACTGCTGTTAACCCTTCCCTACAAGGAAAATCAAGATTGCCTAAGAAATTGACCTGCCTCTATTAAGACTAAGATCCAGACTGCTTACAACTTGAAGTGACCTTTTACAATTACTAAGGCTGTTATTCTTGAGTATTTGCCAAATCCTTAAGACAAAACTAGCATCATTAATTTTCCCCAAAGTTCTGCCTTGGAGTAAAACATACCTCTCACTTTATAAATGAAAGCACCTATGCAGACATATCTTCCAATGGCATCACTGACAGTTTATCTTGTATAGAAATTTTAAGAAATCATTCTCAATTTCAGAAAAAAAAAAAAAATCGTGTTAAAGGAACACTGATGAAATGTTTTGCCTTCAGGTCTGACATTTCACTGTAAACACACTAGAATATACAAAGTTTGGTGAAACAAATATAAAAAAAAATAACATGTTATTTTGTACCTCCTGAAGCTATCAGAATTAAGGATGATTTAAATATGTGTTTACACCAGACTAATCATTACTTTGCTGTACTTAGTATGTTTCAGCTTGTTTGTTCCCATCAAAATATAAAGAAGACTTTGTGATCTGAACAAACAACAACAACAACAAACTTAAACTGCTAGAACATGTATGCACAAAGATACAGAGATAACAGTTCCACACCTTCCACAAAGGTCTCATCAGATCTACTTCAGTAATCTACTGAAGTTTCTACACATATTTAGATATTTCTTATAATGTGTCTTGTACCTCAGCTCTGTTCCACCTAGTGGCATCAATACCAAAAGCCAATACTGTTTTGTTTGTTTCATTTACCAAAGCCAGGGCATTAATATCAATCACAATATAACCTTATACCACATATTCTGCTACTGAGCTATACTTTACAATCAGGACTTGTTTGGTGGCATTATGTTTTTTAAGATGTAGTGTGCACAACTTATTCCTGTCCACTTCTTGACTACTACACAAAGCTTGAAAACCACATCACCAGGTAACAAGAAATTCTGCATTCAACACATGAAAGAAAATACAGTAGCATTGTCATATGGCAACAACAACAACAACAACAAAAAAAAAACAACAACTAAAAATCTAACCATGAAGATTCTCTATCATGATACATCTTCCATTTTTAAGGGGCTTTGCTAAATACACTGAATTCACATACTTGTTAGTGGTCACTGAATAAAATCTCTCTGTCCCCTTATCAATCCTTCCAGCTTAGATGCATTTTTCTTATGAACTCTGGAAAATTTTCCTGTGAATTTTAAAGTGCTGCTGTTCTTTTCCTAGGTGAAAGAAATGTGACTGTTTGCCCCAAACCAGAAAAGCTAAAAATAGATATAAGTTTGCAAATAACTGCCACTGAAGTAAATTGTAATATTCCTACCGGAGTAGTGTAGGACTTGTTCCCATGAGATGTCATGTAGTCTGATTTCAATATAGCAAAACACTTAATTTTTTAATAGTGTTATTAATTTCAGCGGGATTACTCACACACCTGAATTTATGTATGCCCTTAAATTCTTTACTAAACTGGGTTATATAAAGTGTCCTAAACAGAAAAGCTCAGTCATACTTTTCATTTTCTAATATATATGCTGGGAACTGTTGTCTTTCACTACTATTTCTCAAGTGCTATTTAAAAATTAGCTTTTGCAAGGCTCCATCATGGATCAAAACAATCTTTTCCATGTACACACTACTCACGCCTCCTTCTGTATTTACTGACCATTTGTGCAATTTGAAGTCCTTTGGACTTCATTTGTTGTTATAGTGATCTATTTCATTTTTTTAGAAAATCCATCCTTACTAGAAATGTCTGTATGATCTCTCCTGTTTTCCTGTACATTTTCTAGTAAAAATTTCTTGCTGGAGCTGAGCTCCTGATGTTTTTAACGCATTTTTGGAGAAAATGACATGAATAATAATGTCAGCATTGCTTTTATGTCTAAAAGTGACCTTAGATTTTGAAAAGGTGTTAACTGAATAGACTGTTTTTCTGAATAGTCTGTTACTATGAAGAGGGCAACGATGTTCTCCTTTTAAAAGGGCTAGCCAGCTTGTCACTTAATTTTTCTTCAGTAATGACTTTCTTCGAGATCAGACACAAGAACACGCTTGTATTTCAAGAAAGTACATCCCATATTATCTTTAACCTACATGGTAGAGCTAACTACAGGAGTGAACACACAGGGGCTTTCATTTGGGCTTCAAGGAAATACACAGGTTGCTAGTTTTTACTTAATACATGCTGTCACACCATCATGACTATTGCTAATGGTTACACATGGTAGAATCACTCCCTTATCTTATTACATAGACATTAGCTGTATACAGCTAGACTATCTGGTGGGATCCCATTTGTGCGAGAGACATCTAGATATTGTCTTGATAAAAACAGTAACTAATAGTAGTAATAACAGTATAAGTGATCTCAATAAATAACAAGGGAAAAAAAACTGTTTGATGGTAGCCTACAGAATTCCTTTCATATTTTCTCCCTTCCTACATGGCTCCTCCTTACAAAATATACTTACTATTTGCCTTAGATGCAGTTAAAATACTCAGGCTTTAAGCTGTCAAAGCTGTTAACAGCTTCTCATCAGACTGGGAGCTTTTAAGATGGAAGATTAACTAGATATGTTTCTTGTTTGAAAGACATGACTGCTCTTAGAAGCAGAGCCAGGCTGGACATGAGACTTAAATGTGACCTTATACAAGCCTCACTATTTATGATGGCAGGTAAGCAAGGCCAAAAAAGTACTCATTGGAAAGATTTTATCAGCTTTAATACTGCTTTCAGCATGGGCTCTTTGGGGCTTATTGTGAGTATTCACAGTATTTTCTAGATGTTTTCATTGGGTCTTAAGTCCTTTATGGCCCTTAAGTCAAAACATATAATAATGGGGGAACCTAAAAGTAATTTTTTCTAAAATTATAAAAGTTTTTTGTTTGTTTGTTTTTAGTAATATAGCTTCTAGAGAAAGTTTCTATCATATCTATGTACAACCACCTATGAAGCTTTCATTTAGAAATATTGCCAAATAATGACAAATGATTTGTGTATTTCAGCCATCTCAGGTTGCTGCTATCATTTTGAGTATTTCCTAGTTGACATTCTTTGATTTTTTTTGTTTTGTTTATTTATTTATTTGCAGTCATTTTGATGAACACTTTGGCTGCCACAAAACCATTGTACACTAATAAACACTTAGAAGTTACTTTGTTATGCCCAGAGTAACATAATAGGGTTTTGTTTACAATCTCTTTATTTACAGTCACTGTAAATAAGAGCTGAGCAACATATATAGCAGCATGGAGCGATTTAAGTCACACATTACGACTATGAGGTCCTTACACAGCTTGAGAACCTGAGTACGCACATAACAATTTCTGTCTGTCTATCTCTGTTCTATGTGACACTGTTCCAATTTATTATTTTTTTTTAAAGATGAAATATTCATCAAATTCAGCAAATGTGAGTTTGTCTGGCTCAGATTTTACATAGCTTGTACTACTTTGGCATTGCACACCCAGGTTGTACTTTATTTGGAAGCATATTCATGGTGTTCCTCTCTGTATTGCAGAGGACTCAGAAGTATATATATATATGTATAGCTGTTTTTCTTACAGAACTCTTAGTTATCATAAGAACAGGGTACATATTTTCTAGAAAATCAAGAAAACAATTTACTTAAATTATCACTACAAAAATGCAAAGTTTGAGCATATATTTGCTTGTGTATTTATGTATGCATGCATGCAGTTTTGCACTGGTCTGGTTTTTGGTTCAACTTATCCACAGTTCCAGTGGAAAGAGATGGGAGGTTAACGATCAGTGTCTCTCAAAATGAAGAATTCTTATTTCAAATATCACTTACACATTTCAGTAAGTTAGATGTTTTTGCCTAAGAACTCCTACACTCCAGCTATAATTTCAGGAGAAGACTGCACACTCTAAGAAGTCATCCATGGCATGAAGTAAAACAGAAGTGGTATCCTAACCAACAATGCAAGAGTAGTATAAATATATGTATGTCAAGACTGTCAACTGTGTAAATCCTCATGGTTCCACTCATTTGAACTGAACTGTGCCAATTTTGCAACACAAGAGGATTTCCAACTCTTATTAAAAAAGGAGGTATAGTATCTTACCTCTTTCTGTGTTTCTATTTGTAGCATAGGCAGTTTTGTAGTGTTTCTTCAAGGGAAGGGAAGGGAAGGGAAGGGAAGGGAAGGGAAGGGAAGGAAGGGAAGGGAAGGGAAGGAAGGGAAGGGAAGGGAAAGGGAAGGGAAGGGAAGGAAGGGAAGGGAAGGGAAGGAGGGAAGGAAGGGAGAAGGGAAGGGAGGTCCCTTTCGAGGGGAAGGGAAAGGGTTTGTGTCCTGGAACATGGAAAGGAGGGGAAGGGAAGGGCTCTTCCCCTGCAGTCCTTGGCCGTTCAGGCACAGGACAGTGGACCCGGAAAGGCAGGCACGGACAAGGCAAACGAGAACACCGGCCTTACGTCCCCCAGTACAGTCCCTCATTCCCTCAAGCCCTACATGCCAGGAACGGAAAGGAAAAGAGGAAGAACAGAAAGGGAACGGAGCAAGAAAGGAAAGGAAAGGAAAGGTTTTCAAATATCCTAGCTAAAGTATTGAAACTTAGACTTGGAAAAATACCGATTACCATCTGACGTTTAACACATGGACTACACTTAGCTGTAACACTTAAAGATACTCTGATGTTGCTTGTAAAATCATATATAGGGCTTAGATTTAAAGTTCCTTCTGTTATTACATTTCCCATATCCTTTTTTATGTCTACTTTTTTCAGACTCAAAAATTCTTAAAGCCTCTGCTTTGAATGAAGAAAATCTGGACCCATATGTCACTAATTGGTAACAGGTTAGCAGAGAGATTTAAATGGAGATGCCTGAAGTTACAATTCATCATGTGGGATCTGACAACAGCCTGTTTCACTAGGCTCTTTCATTTAGCTTGCATGACAATAAGCTTTAACTAGTCCATGAAAAGTGTAACTTTAAGTAGGAAAATTACTTTAATACAGATCTTTCTAAATGTTATCAATATTTGCAATATACTATATACCACATTAACATCTTTTTTCTATTCATAGGTTTTGTATATGCACAGACTGAGAAAGAAAGCTGTTAATCAAAGTATTTTGTTTCTCATATCAAGCAACCAGTTTCTTAGCTTTTGATGTTTAAAAAATAAATTTAAATTGAAAGAGTTAAATGTCTTTCTGTAGATCATTAAATAAAGAACATTTAAAAATGTATTTTCTGTAATAAACAAGATATCTGGGGAGGTACGGAAGAGTAGGAGCTGTGGTTAGTTATGGTGCAGACCTTTTTGCTGTTGAAATCAGCAGGAAGTTTACTGTTAATTTCAATGACTAAAGGGCCAAGGTAAATACGTTACTGATCCACTAACTGAATCAACACAAATATTTACTGCCCACAGAGTTAGAATAGACCATACTCAATTTGAAATCTAGTCTTTAAAAAAAATTAAAGCACCTAATTACAAATAATCAAGAGAGTTTTGTACATTTACATGCAAGCTTGCTCCAAAGTCCACTGAAGTCAACCAACAACTCTTTCAATGAAGTTGTTGTCAGGCTTACTGTCTGATAATTAGCTAATTATGTAAGATACTTGTGCACAATTAAAAACATTGATTTAGTATTTATATTTTTTTTTCCCTACAGTACAATATAACAGTATAATTGAACAGATAAAGTCTGGCATACTCTAAATGGAGTGAGCCTTATTATCTATCCACCATTCCCATGTCTCATGTTATTAGCACCGGTGATCATTGCAAGACAGAATAACAGTGGTTTTATTCTTTCATTTTCTTTGCTTTGTCTCAAATGACTACATATGTATTCAGGCAAGAGTTAGGCCCATTGAAGGCCATTGACTTTGTGGGAAACAGGAACCAATCCAACTTAGATAAAATATTTTACATTGTGGAGATTACTTTGGCCATACTCTGTCCATCAAAGAAAATGAAAACTAGCAGGCAATTGGCCTCTACTCATACAATAATCAACCATGTGTTTGTTATTCTTGGATGTCATTTATTGATGTGTAAAATGTACTCTTAATTCCATGGTCTTATGAATATTAAGATCTGTATTTCCATACTGCAATTGAAATGCATTTGTTCTGTAAATAAAGGTTTTTAATAGTGAGATCCTGTTTTATTCTTCATGATCATTTTTATTGGTGTATCCTTATATCATTATAATTATTCTGATATGCAGTGCTAGGCAGTCTGACTGCCTTTCCCATTAAACTGTCTTATGGACATATTGTCATGTATTGTAGGAGACAGATGGACACTGGGCATTGAGGAAGTTGTAATTTCTTAGGAAGACCAAGCCTCAGGAGAAGGGGAGATGGAACTTAGAAGTGAATTTCAACAAAAACTGAGTTTTTCACCTAAAATTTTCAGTTAATTAGCAACTGGCAGATACAACTGAATTCTAGTATGGAGTCACTTCCCATTCTTTTAAAAGGATTCTTTAGATTTTCAGTTCATTTAATCCCTGGTTTAAAGGATTAAATGAATCCTTAAAGGATTTATATAAAGTCTCTGAATAGAAGAGTTCTGAAGGCTTAATAATGCAGATGAAAATGAGAGAAGCAAACCACCTTCTTGTAACAATTGCACGAAGCAGAAAATAAAGGCTGCAAGTATGTTTTTAACCAGTTTGTCTTACATGATATTTCATGACCTCAAAGGAAGTGTTCAGAGCATCATTTCAAGCTCAGAATGTCTTGTCTTCAACATTTAGTGAGGAAAGCAAACAGCATCCACCCTAGACAATGGCAGGAATGGCAACTTTGACTGGTAGAGGAAATCACAGAACCACAGAATCATAGAGGGAAGAGAAGGAAGATGGCAAGTAAACCCTGTACCTGCCTTATATTACCTTATGTAACATACGCACCAGACTGGGACAGAAGCAGGCACAGCCTTAGATGTTTTCAATGCATGCAACAATCTTTCATGAAGACTTAAAGCAGATTCTCATGACACAAAGTGCTGAGGTGACAACACTGCAGAGTGCAGTGTATTTTATCCCTCACAAACTGCAGCAGGCAAAGACCCATATATGCTACTCCAGTTCTCTCAGATTGTAAATACCTCCAAGCAACGTGACCAAACATTGGAAATATATGAAGTAGAGCTGCTTGAAGGAGTACCTCACCATATCTAGCACAACCAGAGGCTTATGCTTTATAACTAGTAATTCAGGTATACAAAGGGATAGAACCAGCTTCTTTGGCTGCACCACAATTCACAGCCTTCCCTTCCAGCTCAGTGACTGTTTGTCTCAAGTCTCTAAGGGTCCAGCAGGTCCTGAGGACCTATCAGAAGCAGAACATGATTTTTTCATGGGGTGTGTAGGGGGCAGAATGAAAAATGTTGGAAGCAAATGTATGAATGCTATTTCTGTTTTTATGATGTGTATTGTGTGCTCAAAGCATTACTGCTAGTTAAGATTTGTACATTAAATTCATTATGGAAATTAAATATAAACAGTGAGATCCTTATGAGAATGAAAATCCTCCTTGTAGCATTTTTGCAATGCTTCACTCTTTTAGGAGTACTAAGGGAAGAAAAAAAGACTTTAACATCCTGAAGTAATTTAAAAAGCAACTCTTTTTGTACATGCTGTGTCTCCTTTCAAACAGCCAGTTTGTCTTCCCAGTGAGAAACGGGAAAAATAAATCTATTAAGTTTTGCCTATATTACTACAGATTTCATGTAACCATAGAATGGTTTGGGTTGGAAGGAATCTTAAAGACCACCTAGTTCCAAACCCCCCTGCCTTGAGCAGGGTCACCTCCCACTAGACCAGGTTGCCCAAAGCCCCAACTAATCTGGCCTTAAATGCTTCCAGGGATGGAGCATCCACAGCTTCTCTGGGCAACCTGTTCTAGAACCACACCACCCTCACATTAAAAAATTTCTTTCTAATATCTAACCTAAATCTTCCCTTTTTTAGTTTAAAACCATTACTCCTCATCCTATCACTACAATTCCCAACAAAGCATCCCTCCCCAGCTTTCCTGTAGGCTCTGTAGGCTCCCTTTAAGTATCGTAAGGCCTCTGTAAGAAGTACCTGCTCTCCCTGAAACCTTCTCTTCTCCAGGCTGAACGACCCCAGCTCTCTCAGCCTGTCTTCACTGTCTTCATAGGAGATGTGCTCCAGCCCTGTGATCATCCTCGTGGCCCTCCTCTGGACTCATTCTAATAGGTCCATGTCTTTCTTGTGTCAGGGCTCCAGAGCTGAACGCAGGGCTCCATGAGAACAGAGCAGAAGGGGAAAATCACATTCCTTGCCTTGCTGACCACACTTCTTTTGAAGTCCACAACATGGTTGGATTTCTGGGCTGCAAGTGCACATTGGCAGCTCATGTTGAACTTCTCATCCACCAACACCCCCAGGTCCTTCTCCTCAGAGCTGTTCTCAATTAATTCTCTGCTCAGCCAGTATTTATACTTATGATACTTGGCCTTCTCTGTATCATGGGTCTCCCATTTTCTTCTGGAGAGGGCCCAATTTCTCTAGTCTTCTTTTAATCACCGATGTACCTATAGAGTCTTTTCTTGTTGCCCTTGATGTTCTTAGCCAAATTTAATTCTAATAGGGCTTTGGCTTTCCTAATCTGATCTCTGCTGCTTATATTTGCCTGTATGAAACTCTCTCATGTACTAAGAACAATTTTTTTAATGTGAGAAAGACAATATAGCAGATGCTTTTTGGCAATTGCCTGAATCCAGACACATATTATCTGCTGGCAAAACAGAAATTGTTTGGTTATATTGAAAGTGGCATACATTACTTTAAGAAATAAAACTCCAGTGCAGCAAGGAATTTAAACTTAAGCATAATTTTTAAACACTTGAATAATGCTCTTAGCTGATCACAACAACTCTTGTTTATTGTGACAAACTGCATTGAGCATCTTCCTGAATGAATGCCCACTAGACAGGAAGTGATGCACTCTGTCTTATCATAGAATCATAGAATCATAGAATATTCTGAGTTGGAAGGGACCCTTAAGGATCATCAAGTCCAACTCTTGACACCGCACAGGTCTACCCAAAAGTTCAGACCATGTGACTAAGTGCACGGTCCAATCTCTTCTTAAATTCAGACAGGCTCGGTGCAGTGACCACTTCCCTGGGGAGCCTGTTCCAGTGTGCAACCACCCTCTCTGTGAAGAACCCCCTCCTGATGTCAAGCCTAAATTTCCCCTGCCTCAGCTTAACCCCGTTCCTACGGGTCCTGTCACTGGTGTTAATGGAGAAAAGGTCTCCTGCCTCTCGACACCCCCTTACGAGGAAGTTGTAGACTGTGATGAGGTCTCCCCTCAGCCTCCTCTTCTCCAGGCTGAACAGGCCCAGTGCCCTCAGCTGTTCCTCGTATGTCTTCCCCTCCAGACCTTTCACCATCTTCGTAGCACTCCTCTGGACACTCTCCAACAGTTTCATGTCCTTTTTATACTGTGGTGCCCAGAACTGCACACAGTACTTGAGGTGAGGCCACACCAGCGCAGAGTAGAGCGGGACAATCACCTCCCTTGACCTACTAGCGATGCCGTGCTTGATGCACCCCAGGACACGGTTGGCCCTCCTGGCTGCCAGGGCACACTGCTGGCTCATATTCAACTTTACTTATGATTCAAGTAATATGCTAAACTATTAAAAATGCTAGATGCCATCAAGTAAACTGGCTAATAAAATTATTTGTTAGAGCCAGAGAAAGAAAAAAAAAATCAAAAGAACAACATGATGATCTACATTTTTTGTATTTTAGACTTGACTCTTGGACACACAGAAGATGGTAGCAAAATTCTTAATGAGTTTTCCCTCCTTCATTCAAAATGTGAGAAACATTATTTCTTATTCCAACTCAAGAATTTTCTGTGGTTTTGCATTTTATTATTTCCTAGATGTGTAGACCAAGAAACAGGCTGTTGTCTACTACCTCATATTGTTATACTGCACATGAATCTGACATTAAGAATTAATGTGCTGCCCTTACAGAAAATTATGATTATTGAGAATCAATATACACTGCGAACAGCAAATAATATAAGCAAATGCATTATTGTAGTGAACAAATTCCTAATTTTATCAGAAATCTTGTACTAGATTGCTACGTATACTATATATATACATTTGTATTCATTTTCTAATCAGTCAGAAACAGTCTTAGGTGGAATTCAGAGTGCTGGTGTGATAACTAAAACACTTATTTAAGTATGAACTGAGGCATGCTAATGATGGGCAGTGTGGTAGTATCTGGATAGACAGTGAATTACGAGATTTTTCACTATTTAGCCCTTCATTAGTAGATTTATGCTAATGTAACAATATTATTTTCAAAGTCCTAAACCTGTATAAATCTCATGAAGTTGAATTAAAAAAAAAATAAAAAAAAAAGGATTAATTGCTATAAGAGCATTAAGATGAAGCTGATAATGTAAAATATACTCTTCTGAAATCCCTGGAATTCATTAAAAAATGTTATGCACTGTAGCTGTGGAGAACTGAATATTAATCTAATGTATATGCTTTGGGAACATCCATTCATACATAAAATCTCAGATGAAATAGTTGAAAACATTAATATAATCCTGGACATCAACATTCTTCTAGACCTTAAGTTGATCAGTTTGAGGTTTTAATAAATATATGCATTAAAGAACCACATACATTTTTTGTTGAGTCTTAGCTGAACAAAGAAAAACAGTTGATTCTTCAAAAAAAAAAAGACATTCTAAAGAGTTACACATTCTAAAGTGTCATAAAAGCCTTAGTGAATCAGCAAATGCAGAGAGCACTATTCTGCTTGAATGAACAACAGAGCACATTTATAGAACAGTCATGTTTCCTGGAAAATCAAAAATCATTATTAAGATCAGATTGGTTTTGGACTTTTTTGTTTGTTTGTTTTGTTTTGTTTTGTTTTGTTTTCTCTTTCTAGGCTTTGGGGATGAAAACTTAAAACAGAAACATGAGTTTCTACGCACCCTGTATTGAATGTACAGCAGCTTAATAGTCTTAAAGAGTAAGAAAAGAGATGAACACCTAATTAAAATAAAGAAGTCAACATAATTTAACTGGAATCATAATTTTCTAATATTCCTTGTATGATACTTTATGCCCCAG